TCGAAGAAAACGAATACCTCGCTTCGGCAAAGCTGCCGGGCGTCTCTCGCATCGTTCGTTTTCTCCCCCCTCAATGATATGTCATAGAAAAAAACGAAGAGCTCGATTCGGCAAAGCTGCTGGGCATCTCTCGCATCTTACGTTTTATCCCCCCTTCTGCGAAGCCTCGTGGAAAAAAACGAAAACCTCGATTCGGCAAAACTGGCAGGCAACTCTGGCATAGTTCGTTCTCTCCCCCCTCAATGAAATATCATGAAACAAAACGGATACCTCGATTCGGCAAAACGGCCGAGTGTCTCTCGTATTGTTCGTTTTCTCGTTTCCTCAACCAAATATCATGAAAAAAACGAAGAGTTCGATTCGGCAAAGCTGCCGGGCATCTCCTGCATCGTTCATTTTCACGCTCCCTCAACGAAATATCATGAAAAAAAACGAAGACCTCGTTTCGGCAAAGCTGCCTGGCAACTCTGGCATCGTTCGTTTTCTCGCTCCCTCAACGAAATATCATGAAAAAAAACGAAGACCTCGTTTCGGCAAAGCTGCCGGGCAACTCTCGCATCGTTCGTTTTCTCGTTCCCTCAACGGAATATCATGAAAAAAAACGATTCGTCAAAGTTGCCGGGCAACTCTAGCCTCGTTCGTTTTCTCACTCCCTAAACGAAATATCATGAAAAAAAAAACGAAGAGCTCGAATCGGCAAAGTTGCTGGGCATCTCTCGCATCGTTCGTTCTCTCCCCCTTCAACGAAATATCATGAAAAAAAACGAAAACCTCGATTCGGCAAAGCGGCCGGGCATCTCTCGCATCGTTCATTCTCTCCCCCCCTCAGTGAAGTCTCGTGGAAGAAAACGAATACCTCGCTCTCGACAAAACTGCCGGTCGTCTTTCGCATCGTTCGTTTTCTCCCCCCTCAATGAAATATTATGGAAAAAAACGAAGAGCTCGATTCAGCAAAGCTGCTGGGCATCTCCCGCATCTTACGTTCTATCCCCCTCTTCTGCGAAGCCACATGGAAAAAAACGAAAATCTCAATTCGGCAAAACTGGCCGGCAACCCTCGCATAGTTCGTTCTCTCAACCCTCAATAAAATATCATGAAAAAAAAACGAATACCTCGATTCGGCAAAACGCCCGAGTGTCTCTCGCAACGTTCGTTTTCTCGTTTCCTCAACGAAATATCGTGAAAAAGAACGATTCGGCAAAGCTGCCGGGCGCCTCAAGCACCGTTCGTTTTCTCGCTCCCTCAATAAAATATCATGGAAAAAAACGATGAGCTCGATTCGGCAAAGCTGCTGGGCATCTCGCGCATTTTACGTTTTATCCCCCCTTCTGCGAAGCCTCATGGAAAAAAACGAAAATCTCGATTCGGCAAAACTGGCAGGCAACTCTCGCATAGTTCGTTCTCTCCCACCTCAATGAAATATCATGAAAAAAAAGCAGATACTTCGATTCGGCAAAACGCCCGAGTGTCGCTCGCATCATTCGTTTTCTCGTTTCCTCAACGAAATATCGTGAAAAAGAACGATTCGGCAAAGCTGCTGGACATCTCCCGCATCATTCGTTTACTCGCTCTCTTGACGAAACATCATGAAAAAAACGAATTGTTCGATTCGGCAAAGCTGCCGGGCATCTCCCGCATCGTTCGTTTTCTCGCTCCCTCAGCGAAATATCATGAAAAAACGAAGACCTCGTTTCGGCAAAGCTGCCGAGCAACTCTCGCATCGTTCGTTTTCTCGTTCCCTCAACGGAATATCATGAAAAAAAAATGATTCGGCAAAGCTGACGGGCAACTCTCGCATCGTTCGTTTTCTCGCTTCCTCAACGAAATATCATGGAAAAAACGAAGAGCTCGATTCGGCAAGGCTGCTGGGTATCTTCCGCATCTTACGTTCTATCCCCCCTTCTGCGAAGCCTCATGGAAAAAAACGAAAACCTCGATTCGGCAAAACTGGCGGGCAACTCTCGCATCGTTCGTTTTCTCCCCCCTCAATGAAATATCATGAAAAAAAACGAAGAGCTCGAATCGGCAAAGCCGCCGGGCATCTCTCACATCGTTCGTTTTCTCGGTCCCTCAACGAAATATCATGAAAAAGAAACGAGAAACTCGATTCGGCAAAGCTGCCGGGCAACTCTCGCATCGTTTGTTTCCTCCCCCTCAAGGAAATATCATGAAAAAAAACGAAGAGCTCGATTCGGCAAAGCTGCCGGGTAACTCGCGCATCGTTCGTTTTCTCGCTCCCTCAACGAAATATCATGAAAAAAAACGAAGAGCTCGATTCGGCAAAGCTGCCGGGCAACTCTCGCATCGTTCGTTTTCTCCCCCCTCAATGAAATATCGTGAAAAAAAACGAAGAGCTCGATTCGGTAAAGCGGCCGGGCATCTCTCACATCGTTCGTTTTCTCGCTCTCTTAACGAAATATCATGAAAAAAAACGAGAAACTCGATTCGGCAAAGCTGCCGGGCAACTCTCGCATCGTTCGTTTTCTCGTTCCCTCAACGAAATATCATAAACAAAACGATTTGGCAAAGCTACTGGGCATCTCTCGCATCGTTCGTTTTCTCGCTCCCTCAACGAAATATCATGAAAAATAACTCGGGCATTTCTTGCATTGTTCCTTTTCTCCCCCGCTGAGCGAATCACGCTGTGAGAAAATGTACAGCGACTTTCGGAACGGCCGAGGGATGTCTCAAGCACCGTTCGTTTTCTCCCCTCCCTTCCCCCTTCTGCGAAGCCTCATGGAAAAAACGATGATCTTGATTCGACAAAGCTGCCGGGCATCTCTTGCATCGGTCGTTTTGTTCTCCCCCTCAACGAAGTATCATGAAAAATACGAATAGCTCGATTCGGCAAAGCTGCCGGGCATCTTTTGCATAAATTTGCGACCGTTTTATCGGCGGTCTGCAATGCGGACGTCTGATTGGTCGTCGGAGAGCCAATCAGGACCACCGACAGCCGCTGCTCCGGTGGAAACTCCCAGGCTGAGTTCCATTATACTTACCTGGCGCAGAGATTACCGTGATCAGGCTGAGTTCCATTATTCACTACCAGTACTGAAAATATATAGTTTGTGTTGCACATACTATGGATTTTCTTCGCTGGAAGTGAATATCGGAACATAGCCCCAGAAGTCGCGGAAGGCCCAATCCGGGAGATGGCACTCTCTCCCATAGGCACGGTTGCGCTAGTAAGTTTCACTCTATTGAATCTATGCCAGGGGGTGCAAACTCGCCTCTTAAAAAATGGGTGACGCATTTCAGCGCCACCACGGTGCGTACCCAGGAAAGGGCCGAACTAAAATGAGTGACGTCACGAGGAGTAGGGATACCCGCTATATTCGAATCAGTCGCGTATGTATGGTACATGTGTATATGTGTAGTGTGTGTGTGTATACATGTTATGAGTGCGCGTATGAGTGCCTATATGTGTCTCACGCGTTGTGTGTCGTATATGTGTACGCTCGTGTACATTGAATAATATAAGAAGTAATTTGAGATATTTTCGGTAAGATTTATTTTTTTATGTTGTTAACATGTGTTATTTTTTGTTATTATCATTTTATGAAAGTTAAAAGTGATTATAATCTACCGTCACTTTTCATTTCCGTACAATGATAATGATATAAAATATGACATGTTAAAACCTAAAAAAATAACTTTACCCAAAAAATTTGAAATTGCTTCTTACACAATCCAATACGCACAAGCATACATACATATGACATTCATTTCATTACAAACAAATATACAAATATTTATTACACAATAGATGTGTATACATATATTATATATAATGACATACATATATTAATAACATATTATACATGACTTATAATGCGCGCATAACTTATAAAAATGATATAATAAAGATATACAATATATTTTACTGTAACACAATTATAATGAATAAAGTGGTAAAGTCACATTTTTACATACTTAGTTTTATTAATATAAATAGTATTAATTATTGTGAAGGGTTCTAATATTAATAAAAAAACGTTAAATTTTTATATAATAAAGCATCAAAGTTTTTCCGTCCCACTTACAGACTGCGGACTGTCAGGAACACATTTTTAGTGTACCTGGTGTGGTTAAAAAATTTTGATGCTAAAGATACGATCGGGGAGACGCAATAGCGCTCTTAGCGTCATTCTATCTTTATTGTTCATTAGATGTACAAGGATAGAATGATGCTGATAGTTCTAATAGTCTTCCTGAACGCAGCCTAAAACCACCAGCATCAATAAATATCCATCCACACTACAAAAATATACAAACAATATATAAATGTGATAATAATTTTACGTGTAATATAATGATACGCTATAACATAACAAATGAAGATATGTCACAGTTAAACAATACATCTATACATACATAAAATCATACAATCCATTCAAGGACAACTCTCTCCGCCGAAGAGCAATACTTCGCCTCTCGTCCTCAGGGCATGCCTTCCGTATAAAAAGCATGGCTTCCTGAGTTGGAGGTTGGAGTAGTGTCCATCATTCATTCTCCTAAATATTCTTCTCAGATGCTACCTGTCCGGCGCTAGGCTAAGGACGTCACATCTTTCCTCCAGTCTCATCCCCTCCTCCTCCGACCTGAAGGCATGCCTTCCCGATCTGTCAGAGAAAGGGAAAATATGACTGCTTCAGACAGATGAGCCAGAGTAGAAGAATCCTACCTGCCCCATTCGCTAAACTAAGCACTCATACCCTAACATACATATAATACAAAAAATATTATATTACATTATATATTGAAAATAATTTGATAATAAAATGAATTGAAAAATATTAATTACAAAATAATAAATATTAATATCTATTTCTATTTTGAATGGACTCTTTATACGCTTGTAACATCTCTTTTCTTTTCAATTTATTTTCTTTAAATAACGCACGCATTCGTTTATTTTGTTTTATACTAATTTTTACATCGCGCATTAAGGAATTAATATTAGAGTTTTTTAACATAAAATTTTTGTCTCTATACCACCAAATAATACATTGAACAATAATTACGTGAATCATAATATCAAATATTTTATCACTATGCTCAATACACTCATGCCAACTCATATTCCTATTCCATTCTTTAAAATGTTGTATAAAATCTTTCGCAATGTTTCGCCTATTACTTCTCGTTTTTAACAATTTAAAAACTCGATTGACTATTTGTTTCGCGCAAACAAAAAATTCACTATTTTTGAAACATGATTCGCATTCCGAGCAATTGTTAACTTTTTTTAGAATTGAAATTATCATTACGCGAGAATAAGCTGAAAATGACGCGGAAATACTATTATCTACTGTATTATTCGATATAAAATCATGCACTTCATCATCGCCATTGTCATTGCGAGCGACATCATGCACTTCCACGTCTGAAAAGTCACCTTTCAAACACTCTTCTAATGATAACAACATAGAGTTATCATCAACGGCCTCGCAATTACCGCCAACTATAGATACTGACTTCATGTTGCTTAGTAATAGAGTGATGTACGACTCTTCAAACTGTGAAGGAGTGGGGTTAATATGACGAACCGCGTGACTTCTAATTTGACCAAAAAAATTTTCTAGCGGATCTTGATTACAATATCGAGCATTTAATTTATGAAAACCAAATTGTGAATGTAAAATATCTCATAATTTTTGAAACCCGTCTATAGTGAATTTCCAGTTTGTAACAGTTGGCACATTCTTAATAATTTCACGTGAAATCTTATCAACATATTTCATTTCGCGTAATATACGTTTTGCACTTACCCAGAAAACATGATGAACACTTGTTTCACTCACCGCTTGTCGCAGGTCATTGTCTTCAACACACTCTTTATCACTTCCATTCACACTGTCAAATAAATCGTTGAAAAAGTTAACACTTTCCGCGGTGGCAAGTCCTTCGTTTTCCTCTATTTTTAAGTCCTTATCTTCGTGGCGAACAACACCTGTAACATACATTTTTATGTTACATAAATAATTGTGTCATCTGTTGCAAAGATCAACAATTTTCTCTAAGTAATTTTTTAACGCCATATGTAACTTATTTTACTATAAAATGGATTATATTTTACATAAATAAAAGACATATATATTTCAATGTTAAAAAAAGATTGATAATATAAGTTTTAGGGCCAATTTTTGCAATCTCCGGGTAGTCTTATCGATAATTTATCGGAAAATCAATCGTGATCGTCGATCAACCGTGATTAGTAAGTAATGGTCAACAATAAATACGATTGGTCAATTCCATTAGAATAACCGGTAATTATAGTTAACCGGAGATTATGAAAATTGCCCTTAAACTTCTTATTTATCTGTATTTTCTAACATAATAATACTTACAATTTGATGTGGCCAATGTTTCAATGCAGCTTGCCATTGTACCACTTAACACTTGAACGGCATATTTCACACGCATTTTCTTAATTTTATCCTCCATAATGTGCTCACATTTAATTTTTTTTAATTGCGGTCGAATTTTGTGTGTCTCTCTGTCCATAATCCACGCAGTCTTAATTATGTCCCACGATGCAATTTTCGCTGATACGCCATTCTCGCAGCTCATCGCTAAGTCCTTTGTTAATAAGTTATTCCTCACGCCTTTGATGAGATGTGGTCCGTCATATAAGGGAACAATTACATATTGCCCCACTTCAAACGTTTGACCTTTTACAAAAGAAATGAATATAAATTAATTATTTACATACACTGTTATAAAAATACCATACTTATTGTTATTCTGAGCTTACTCTGAGTTCTTTCAGAAGACTTGCGTTTCATGTCCGTACGCAGTAGCAGTTCCTTTATTGCAGCCATGTTCGAAGATCCCTGGTCACAAACTGTTGCAACGATGTGAAAGCCTAGATCGTTAATTTTGGAAACATGTTCTTTAATACAACGTACTAATTGCGCTGTATTTGTTTGTTTGCAACAAAAATTATAAGAAATGGGCATCTTCCAGCCCGTGTATAATCCGCGAAGCATAAATACCAAAACGTGATCAGCCATCTTTCCGGTGCGATTATTGCCCCAATCCTCAAGTCCACATATGATATCCTTACGGTTATCATATGTGATCTTGGGTTGAATAGATACCTCGTCCCACATAAGAATGCACACTTTATTTTTCACTGACATCTTTGGAGCTATAGATTCCAAATGTCTCAAAATAAAAGTGTTCAAACCTGCGGAGACTGGTATTTTCTGAAGCGCTAAATGCAACGTTTGAATAGATGGCATATGTGAAAAAATTTGACGTAAATAAGTGTTACGTCCTAGAGGAGGAACGCAACCCTTTCGTTCGCGAGTAAGGCGAACCTCGTTCGTACACGCGTGTCAGTGAACGGGTCAGGGACCCGACGGGTCCCTTTACTCGGGCACCGACGTACGACGAGCGGTCCGTTTTTCGGTCAGGGACGCGAATCCCTTTACCGGGGATAGGACCATGAGTTGACTGTTGGAAGGGTATGTGTGATTTTGAAATTAATTGGAAAAAGAATGAAATATAAACAGATTTATTAAAATAACAAAATGAATTACGGCGCGGTTCAATACAGTTGAGGAATGACTGTGTATGTGTATGTGTGTATGTATGAGAAGTGAAAGAAGGAGGAAATAATAAAAAAAAGGTAGGAATATGAGTAAAGAATTAGTCGGGTGAGGGGGAGCGTGAGTGGTCGGGTGAATTTAAGGGAGTGGATAGTTCGGAAAACGTGGTGGAGGGTTATCCCTATGTTGTTATAATGACCCACTAAAAATGTATTCAATAAACAGGTGGAACCAATAAATAAGAGTATATATATAAAAACAGAACTTACTGCTGATTCGGGATGAGTTGACACAAGCAGAAGTGAGAATGGCGTAGATCTGCGTAGGTGCTCTCGTTTCTAATATTCGTATTCTGATTGAGGCACCAAATAGTCGTTCACTTATATAAAGAGGAAGCCCGCACTTTTCCCAAAATCCGAATGCTTGAATATTTGAATACTAAATATTTGAATGAACTGAGTTTTGAATATCTGCGTGAGAGTGCGAGTTTGAGCTTTCTCGTTTCCGTGTTCTTCTGTCTCTCAGAGTAGTAGTAACGGTAGAAGTAGAAGTAGCAGTGAAGTAGAAGTGCAGTGGCCGCGGAGGCGGATTACCGCGGTTTTTATAGTAATAATCGGAGGCAGAAGCTATCAGGGTGGGTAGAGAGATGGCCTTTGAGGAAGGGGTGGATTGGTCTTAGTGGGAAAAAGTCTCAGCCATTAGCAAAGTTAAAAGACATCGTGGGAGGAGACAGTTAGTTTTTGGAGATATGAATATGGAAGGGCTAAAGGGTGGAGCGTGAGTGTCTCATAGTTTTAGGTGGATATATGATTGGCTGAATGAGTTAGGCGCGACAAGCGTAGAGGTGGTGGGTTCTTGAGATAGAGAAATGTATACAAGTGGACGGCTGGAAAAATCAAAATGCCGTAAATCAAAGGCTGGGATCAGATTTTACGACTATCAGTGAAGTAGGCTTTGTTGGTTGACTGATTGGGCACATATGGTTTTGGATTGGGAAGATGTGAGTTTCAAGTTTTAGAGCAGGGATGCTCTGAGTTGCTTTGTTTCACTGAAGGTTTATTAGCGCGGAGTTTCAAGTTTTTATAGCTGGGACGACGGACACACTTGGCGAACACTACCCAGGTATAGGTTTTTACAACAGGGCATTGTTTCCTGTTATGGAATTTTCCCGAATCGCTTTTCATTTGGCGCGACGGCTGTTCGCCAGATGGGTCTGTTTCCTAATTTATATTTATATATGTATATATTCCTATTATAGTTATATTAGGAGAATATAAATCTGCGAGAGGAAAGAATTTTTACTAATTAAATCTACAGGACGTAACACCCCCTGCCTTAGACAAATGTTGGGGCCGCCAACATTTGCCTACGTAGTGTATTGTTAAAATCGTATTAATTGTGTGTAATTGAGTGTAGATTGTAATATAGTTGATTCGATTTTCGCAATTAAAATACTCATTTGTAGCTGATGGTCCTTGAGTTTTTACAGATGTGTTGTTTTATTGCCAGGCAGCGCAAGGTGGCAGGCTTCGGATCCTCTTTCCTTTTTAGTCTGGTAGTTCGTGTTTCGGGTTGCAGTATGGTTATCCTGTTTTGCGGTTAAAACCTGCTAGGTTGTCTGCTTAAATATGTTATAAAATAATCTGGAAAAAATACTTCGAGGAGATTGACGCAATTATTCGTAAATCATCTGATAAATATAATTAGAAAGAGCTCAATTATAATAATTCGTGTTTGTTTAGAAGGAGGAAAGAGAAGGCGACCACCAAAACCCCTTCCTTCCTTTTTTTCGTCCTTCTATATATATGTATGTATAGAGAAAAAAGAAAATAATATTGAAATAGTATCTTATAAAGAAAAGGGAAATTCAGTGTTATACTTTGTATCATCATTATAAATTATTATAAATATTTTCTTTTCTCTCCTTTTTTTTTATTATTTTTATTACAAAATTTTTATTTATATATATATTTATTAAAATTATATATATATATTTTTTTTGTGTATGATGTATAATACGATATATAGTATAAATGCATGTGGTACGTAATACAGTATATATGTAACATGTAAGAATATGTGTTAGTGTATAAAAGCATAAAAGTATGTAAAGTGTGTGAGTATATAAAAGTATAAAAGTGTATAAGCATATAAGAGTATATAAAAATATATATATATGAATATATAAAAAAAAGGATATATAAAAGAAAGATATATATATGAAAGTATATAATAGGTGTTATTATAAAAGTATATATTCCTTATATTGAGGGAAATGGCCTGTAATTTTTGTTTGTTTCTATAGCGAGGTTTATCGCTATTAGGTCCCTTTAATAAGAAGACATAATCTCCCGGTTTAAAAGTCTGAGGATTAATTTTTTCATCGTAATAGCCCTTAGATTTTACTTTAGCGTCAGTCAAATTGTCATTTGCTTGTATCAAATTGCATTTTGTGTAATCGAGTAAATAGTTGTATCAAGTAATCATCATATGTTTTTATTTTGTCGTCTTCGAGTAATGGTTCGTTTGACGGCATTCTCGCGGGTCTACCGAAAACTAATTCGTATGGTGTGTGTTTAGTGCCTTCATGTATGCAAGTATTGTAATTTTGTATCGCTAAGTCTACCCATTCATCCCATTCCTTTTCATTGGTTGCGTATTGTTTCAAATATTCTCCTAGTGCGTAGTGAGATCTTTCCAAGGAACCATTTGATTGTGGATGGAAGGCAGTTGTACGAAACCTTCGTATTCTGTAGTATTTTGCTACTTTCCTTATTAGATTGCTGATGAAATTTCTTCCTTGGTCGGTGAGCACAGCTTTAGGTGGTCCAAAAATAGCGATAAATCTCTTCACAAATTTATCGGCTATTGTTGCAGCAGTTTGATCCGGTAATGGTACGGCTAAGCTGAATTTACTTAGTTGATCTTGCATTGTGAGAATATATTCGTTACCATTTTTAGTACGTGGTAATGGTCCTACTATATCCATGGCAATTTTATCGAATGTCCATCCTGGAGTATCCGTTATTACCATAGGTTGTTTAGTTTTTACTCGGACCAATTTCTTTAACTGGCATTGCAGACATTGTCGAATATGACGTCGGACATCTGATTTCAGATTTTCCCAATAATAATTCTGACGAATTCTGTTGTATGTTTTAGTTACTCCTCTGTGACCTCCTACTGGAGTGCAATGCATTTCCTGAAGTATTGCTTCGCGTATATCTCCTGGTGGATATTTGATCAAGCCTTTGCAAATAATTATTCGTATGGCTGAATCCAAGAATCCTGTCTGAAATTTAGTTTTGATATCATTCCATGGTACATTCAGAATATATTCGCTCTTGGCTACACTTATACTTGCGAGATTCATACTCTCAGCAGTCTGTCGCAAATTGATTATTGCTTGTGTTATATTTTTTAATATCATAGTTGGGCCTTCCTTCTGATCTTCGCTAATCGGTAATATAATGTGATACCTCTTGTTCCTTTTTATAAATTTTGCGATGCTTATTGATAGATTTGTAACTTTCGGCATTTCTTGTCTTTCGAATAATTTATTTCCTCCATCATCCACAGGATTCCCTGAGATATCTGTAAAATATAGCAAATTATCTTTGCGTAGGAAATGTAAATCTCTGGAGTCTATCAAATTGCTTTCTTTGCTTTGTGATTTCGTATTAATTGTTGCAAGTGGTTCGCAGTCATTGTCTTCTTCGTCCGTGTCCTCAGGTAGAGGTTTCGGCGGTAGGTTTTGTTTCTTCGGTTTTACGACCTCTTCATATGGTTCGGCTGTTTGGGTCAGCTGTTTCGCTCGACTTCGGGTCATAAAAGCCCGAGAGGCTTCGGTAGGTCCCTGTGCAGAATCCCTGCATTCAGTATTCGTAGGTCCAGGCATATGGACCAAGGCCTCCACTGTTTGTGTTTTTGGTAATTCCATTGTTTCTCCGTCGGTCAGTGGCAAAATATTCTCGAGAGAGTCTACAGTCAGTGCGCGGTCGTCGGAAGGATGCGTGTCGCGAACGTTCTCCTCGGTTGGTTCCTCGATATGTGGGTGGTCATTTGTGAGATGTCCTTCGTGACCGTCTTCTTCGTGTGATTCTTCAATGTCGCTATCTTCTTCAAGAAGGCGTTGGATAATTTCTGCATCCTTTGGATCATTTGGATTTAATTTGCTTCTTGTATTTATCATCTTGCAATCCTTTGAAGGTGAGTCAATAGGATTCCGTGACAATGCATCCGCATTTACATTAGTTTTCCCGGCCTTATAAACTACATCATAATCATACTCAGATAATTTCAATCTCCATCGAAGTATTCGCATGTTCGCATCCTGAGCGTTCTTAAACCACATTAGAGGTTTATGATCTGTTACAAGAGTGAATTTTCTTCCATATAAATACGGTCTAAAATGCTTAACACAATATATTATTGCTAAAGCTTCCTTTTCGTAAGTATCATATTTTATTTCATTCTCACTCAGGGTACGAGATGCGTAAGCTATAGGTCGATCCTTATTAATAACTCCTTGAGATAGAATTCCGCCTATGGCATAACCGGATGCGTCGGTTGTTAAAATAAATGATTTTGAGAAATCGGGGTATTGCAGCACAGGTTCCTTACATAATTCGTTCTTTAGTATTATGAATGATTGTTGTTGTTCTAATCCCCATTGGAAAGGTATTTCCTTTTTTAATAGTTGTGTTAAAG